AAAAGTTTGCGGCGAGAATGAGATGTTTTTTGAGGTGCTGCTGTTTTCATCCTAATGTGAATAGTTATCAAGGCATTGCATGTCTAATCACTGTTCCTTGACCAAGGCCAAGGCCAATTTGCTTTTATACTTTCAAAACGAAATTACACGTAGCATTTTTTCATTCACACTGGCATATATTGGCCAATGATAAACAGCTTTATCAAATGTTTTGGCTTCGATATTTTTTATACATCTACGCTGACATACGTACACACACATACATACATACACACATACATACATGCATACATACGTACATACATACATACATACACACATACACACACATGCATACATACATGTGAATCACACACACACACATATATATACATGCGTACACACATACATACGTGCATACAGACATTTGCCTTTGGTATTTTAACAACTGTGGTTTCTCTACAAGTTCATCAACCTTTATGCATTTAAACTAACGTATGTGAGGTTGATGTGTTAGTACTGTTGGCTTTTTTTTGGGGGAGGGGGGGGGGGATTTCGACAGTTTGTTCAGCAGATATTTGCCTCTGATAACATTCTTTACAGTTTTGGACAGTTTTCTTATTTTTTTGTCTTTTTTACTCCATTTTATTTATCTGTATTTCTGAATAACGTAGATATTTTAAAATATGTTTTTTTCTTTTCAGTTTGGAACAAAAACAAATGGCAATTCTGCTGGGCCGGCATCAAATTTTCCTTGATCTCGAAGGAGTGCCAAAAGCCGAGAAACTAATTGAACTGAATTCAAACACTCATTTGCATACATACTTTCATTCACTTGCTCGTGAACTTGACATTATGGAGCCAAAAACCCCTGAAGCAATCTACAAAAGCCATTTGGAACAAAGTCGTCAGTTTTTTTTTTTTTTTTTTATTACATGATTTTTAGTGCTTGTGCTAATATATCTCTATTTGCGGTTTTACTCTGCAGCTGTTTGCCACCGGTGCAGCTAGATTTATTTCTTTAGTTTATTTTAGCAATTTAATTATATATTCTGTGTCCACATAAAGATCGTAACTTCAAATTTTGCCTTGGGACGCTGGTAACGACTTCGATGTCAAAAAAGAGCGCAAAGAGGAAATAGTAGAATAGAAGGATTGGATTTAATTATCATGTGTAAGAAGGCATTTTACGATGCAGTCTGTGTTTCATCCCTTAGCTGTAAACACAGACCGAATTATACGTGCTGGTAACAGCGGGAATCATCAGTACAGCCTCATACCCGCCATGTACTTAACAGCTCTGTAACTAATTTGTAAGACGGATATGCGAAAAAAGGAGGAAACAAAGAAAGAACAAACAGAGTGAAAGAAAAGGGAGTTAACTCAAAAAAAAAAAAAAAACACAGGAAGCTGTTATGTGTAAATTATGAGGAAATGCTTTTTGTGAGAATAGCATGCTGACTAGGCGTTTAATTTCCATATCATCAAGAAAGATGAATTTGCTGAGAAATCGCTTGCCCTGATTTACTGAAATACATAGACTAGGAATGGTACCGTTTGATGGCGATGTATGGCAAACACACAAATGGCTAATTAGCCTTTTTATAAGTAATTTTATTCGAAGAATCGTTGAGCTGATAATTCCTCGCCGATAACGAAACGACGTCAGCAAGCCCAGCAATCGAAGCAGCATTGATCAAAGCAGCTGGAAATTTGCCATGAATTACTACTGGTTCGGCTGTTCGAAGTGTAATTGAAGGAACAAAGTATTTTATGTGGGCTTGAGATGCTTTGGAATTCTATAACGGATTGATGCTGCCAGTCGTTTTCGCAGATCAGTGGCAACGATGTCCAATTAGAGACTACTCGGAAGATTCAGCTAAAAAAAAAGTTGCTTGCCATGGTGCTTGGCTTTATATGGCTGACGAAATTGAGAATGCGGTAAAAGTTGGCGCTCGTCATTGCCGATTGCATTTATGCATGCTGGAATCAAGCGAATATTAAGCGAAGAAAAAGCAAGCATTATCTGAAAAACCAACAGAATTGCAAAAAACCAGGAAAATCTTAATCCAACTACTAGCTAATGCAACATTTCTTACCTAATTTATTACTTCTTCTTTTTGCATCTTTCCGTTTTTTACTCTTTTTTGACCTTTTCTGTCATCCATTTCTACATTTTCTAACAAAATTTCCACTTAA